TTTGATGTCGCAATATCAATTATGATGTCATTAATAAGTATTGCCCCTGACATTGCAGTGAATCATTCATCCCTCCATTAGCAGAGTAGTATTTTTCCCGATGTAGTCACCCAATATTATGCCCCAAATAAACCGTATTGGATGCCATTTTGAATTTAGGGAAAATGATTTTAGGGATTTTTCTTAAGTTTAATGACTATGAAACCCTATATATGATATATTACAAGCCATACCTTGCGTGATATTCATCCATCGTATCGAGAAATTTATTTTTCGTCAGTGGGGAGTGGGGGGTGGATGGCTGAATGGTAAGCATGCGCGCGCTGTATCGTGGTTTCGAATCCCCGGTTGTACGTGACAAGGAGTAGCGTCGCCTGTCCAACCTCGTGGGTTTTCTCCGGGTCCTCCGTTTTCCTCCCACTGCTAAAGACCCCTAGGCGCAAGCGAATTATTGAAATAAAATTAAAAAACCATATGTTAGTCCCGAAATGACCTAGTTTATGTCGAGTGGACGTTAAACCCCATTTCTCTCTCTCTCTCTCTCTATTTTTCGTCAAATTTTGGCGGCAAGTTTGGCAATTGGACAGAACCCAATCAAAATGACGTCACAGAAGTAAAATAATCTCAAAATCGTATTCAATGACAAATTTAGCCTCAGCAACAACACGTCCCCAAATTTCGACCCAATTGTGACACCCCTATTTTTAGCAGAATATTTCTTAGTTATCAATTTTATTTAAATCATGTGTTATTTCCTTTGTATAGAGATTAAAAATATATTTACATTTTTTTCTATCAACTTTTAATAATGTATCACCAGGTAATAAGAGAAAGAAATGGAGTTTAACGTCCACTCGACACCAACTAGGTCATTTCGGGACTAACATGGTTTAATTGTCTTTCAGTAATTCGCTTCCGCGTAGGGGTATTTACCAGTGGGAGGAAACCGGAGGACCCGGAGAAAACCCGCGAGGTTGGACAGGCAACCCTACTCCTTGTCACGTACAACCGGGGATTCGAAACCTCTCCAGTTGACTCAATGACAGGCCTTATGATACCATTCGGCCACCCCCCCCCCCCCCATCCTAGGTAATAAGTAAAAGCCACTCCAGTCAAACTGTTATAAATAGAGATATTGTGTTCTACTGAAGAGAATCGCAACAGGATTTATTTCAATTTGAGTACAACATCAAAATGTTGGACTGTGAAATAATGAATTTAGATACTGTTAAAAAGAAACCCAAAACAATCAATGCTACTGTATCACAATAGATGTTTTTTTATTTGATTGTTTAATTAAGGTAATGAAGTTCCTGGGTACATACACATGCTATTGTCGAACCCATTAATGATGAGAATATTGGTTTTTGTTTTCGCTGGTTTCGACTTTATTGAATGAAAATGATAATTTTCGCAATTAACTCCTATCTGGATGTTAGCCCCAACTATACAAATATGGGACAGTAGACGTACACATGTTAAATAGGTATTATAATTAAACCGTTAATGGTAGTCAATACAACTGTATTTACTTATCTGATTGATATATATAATATATATATATATATATATATATATTACCATTGACCTCGAAGTTAATGTTTCTGGCGGGGGGGGGGGGGCTTGGATGGCTGAATGGTTAGCGTGCACGCGCTGTATCATAAAGTCTGTCATTGAGTCGACTGGCGTGGTTTCGAATCCCCGGTTGTACGTGATAAGGAGTAGGGTCGCCTATCCAACCTCGTGGGTTTTCTCCGGATCCTCCGGTCTCCTCCCACTGCTAAAGACCCCTACGCGCAAGCGAATTATTGAAATAAAATTAAAACCATATGTTAGTCCCGAAATGACCTAGTTTGTGTCGAGTGGACGTTAAACCCCATTTCTCTCTCATTCTCTCTAATGTTTCTGGGTGGGTGACTTAATGTTAATCCCGTGCCCTGTGAACATCAAAGAGCCTGTAGTTGTTTTATTCATATAAATAACGGGGTTGGTTTCCGTGTTTGGTTATTCCATGTACATTTCGAATAAAACAAAAAGTATCATTTCCAACATGAAATTTAAAAGCCGATTACAATTATTACAAGCGATATGTTGATTTACCATATTTAGAGAACAAAATGTTATTATTCGCTTTCAATATACTCATTGTTACTTATTGATCCAGCGATATATTTTATTCATGATTAAACCATGGACACGTATATTGCATTTGGAAACCTAAAGAAACATGAACTGCATACATTAAAGTAGATAGTATGTTATTGTATCATAAAATGTTTACATAATACAGTATAAACCATTCATAAAAGGTTGGTCTATTCCCATATATATGTTTTATATACAGAAAAGACCATTATGGTCAATTAAAACGATATTTATTTCCGAGGTACATGTCTACCTTCGACAAAAAGGTCATTATGATCAATTAGAAAGCATACTCAGATTACTACAGAGACCAAAGACAATTACAGCTATCTTTCATAACACAACATAGCAAAACAAATCTAAATGTACATGGTGTATAAAATTCCAAAAATAGCTTGTAACTAAACAGAGATTAAAACTATTTCGGCCGTAATAATAACATTTGTGGGAAATGCAGGATTGTACAGTGTTTGTGATATGATATCTACTGATAGGGGATCGGTTTCAGAAGAGTTATTTGCCACATAATTTGATAATATCGTTTTAATGCACATGAACGCAATAAACTTTTCACACATAGCCTCAGCTTACTAAAATGTGTAAAAGAATTGTCCACGTTACTGGCCATGTACCTTCGATTTGTCGTGTACATTTGATTTGTTGGAAAAGACCTAAATTCGGTTTTCTTTAAAACAGACGTCTTTAAATGTTAACATGGCAATCTAATTAAAATTCTATCATACAGTTTATTTTCTTTATATACAATACATTGTAATCTTACAGATATTATGCGAAGAATTTGTTTTATATCAAATAATCGAATCCAGAATAGCTAACCCCTAAACCAAACCGAACAAGCGGCTGCCATGTACGATACACCCACATTTTGCAAAAGATGCATCGAGAACATGGAAAACCAATAGGACCCATCCTTTCAGTGGACCAATGCTTCACATCGAATTAGAAAAAAATCGGTTTAAATTTCTAACCTTTCTCGCGTTCACAAGGTTTTCGGAAGAATGGGGGCAACTTGAAATATGTGTTCAGAATTAAAAGATCTTGGATGAGTTTGATCACGGATCGTTGAATATTCTCAAGTGATTCCAATGCTAGAAACTGAATGTGAAAAAAAAACCCGTTAATAGCCTTTTTCGCATTCAGGAACTACAGCCTCTATCCAAGTCGCAAACTTTTCCGCATATGCTAGGTTCCAACTATCACAATTCGGACTACGATTGGAATCGTGATGTAATCGTGGTGATTCTATCAGGTCTTATCATATATTGAGGTCAGTCGTAGCAATCGTGTTGACTGTATCGAAACGTATCAGAACATAGGAACCTGGCGTAAGGCGGCATGACTCTGGAAGGAAAAGGTTGTGAAACGCTGATTATCTTAAAGGTTCGTCCTCTCATGACCCAATTCTTCAAACTAATTTGAAAAAAAAAATGTCTGTTCTAAAATATAGCCATTATCGACTTTACAAATTTTTCGGAAAATGGGGCTTAACTCCGCAACGGAGGGTCCTATGCACATCAAAATTATTCGAGATCTTTTGGTCCTTAACATTGTCAGTTTCATCTTAGATTGTGGGCTCCAGAAGATCTTCAAACTTTATATATATTTCACTTTCTGGGTAAAACGCAGGGACCAGAAGCTAAGGTGTGATGCGAAACCTTTCTACTTTTAATTCTTAACATAGATGTTCGTTTTCATCTGAATCAGACAAAAATTGTAGCCTCTAGATGGTTCAAAAACATTATACATAATTCACATGAAGGGTAGGGGGCGTAACTCCGGAACAGATGGGCCGAAACACACCAAAATCAAATTCATCCAAGATCTTTTGAGCTGAACACATATCAAGTTTCATCTAGATTGTGACCTGTAGAGGGACCTAGGGTATTGGATGACCGAATGGTTAGCACGTGCGCTCTGTATCATAAGATCTGTCATTGAGTCAACTGGCGTGGTTTCGATTCCCCGGTTGTACGTGACAAGGAGTGGTTTCCTCCCACTGCTAAAGACCCGTACGCGCAAGCGAATTATTGAAATAAAATTTAACCATGTGTTAGTCCCAAAATGACCTATTTTGTGTCGAGTGTACGTTAAACCCCATTTCTCCCGGACAGCGGCACTACGGCCTACTCTTATATCAAATTCCAACTGTCAAGGGATCTTTTACGTGCACGCCAATGTGTACACGGGACCTCGGTTTTTCGTCTCATCCGAATGATTAGACAGCTGTCCTTGTCAGGCCCTCTGTCCTGCATCACTGAGAAAGGGGAACCACGCCGGAAAATCTGGATGAACAATGCAGGGATCGAACACCCGACCCACCGTAATTTCCTTCAGAAATGGCCTCATATACAAGGAAATTGACTTCAAATTTTCAAAATCTTCGTTGGGGGGGGGGGGGGGGCGCTCCGATATTTATAAATCATATAAATCAATTCCATTGTAATCATTATCCCAGAACAATGAAGTTATGTGACATTATCTACTGATCATGTGGTTACCACATGAATTTCCTTTCATTTTAACGGTGATAAACCAATCAAAATCCAGTAATTGTATATTCATACAAATAACAATAAGGATAGAAACCGAGATTAATTAAATACAGGCGCGTATACCGGGATTGCTATATATATTAATCTATAGATGACATTATTTTTCTGTTAGTTCATTGGATAGTTTTTAATGAAATATTTACATTGCAAAACACAATTATGATATCGAACTGTTTATTTTTGTTCAAGAGAAACGGTCAGTCAATAAGTGTATTCTTATTGTTAATAGCGTACAGAAATAGTAATCGTTTTAGCACAAGCAAATGCATGAAACATTTCCAACAGAGTGATCATGAAGAAGAGGGGAAATCTTTCAAGCTTTACTATTTTGTTTTTGTGGTATGTAACAGGTATGAGGGCTTTTTTTTTTAAATATTAATAATAAGAATAATAATAATGAAGTTTTATATAGCGTCTTCTCCATGTTGACACATGCTCAAAACGCTTTTTGTAATGGCTCTACTGGTAAAACTGTTGAAACAGGAAAGTCTTTAGTGCGGATTTAAATTGATTAAAAGTTTGTTGATTCTTGATCTGTTGTGGAAGTTCGTTCCATAATCTAGGACCAGCTGAACTGAAAGACCTATACCCATATGACTTCAAATTATATCTTGGAACAACTAGTGACTGTTTATTTTGAGAGCGAAGTGATCTAATAGGGTTGTAGTCATATAAGAGTTCAGATAAGTATTGAGAAGCTGCATTATTGCGACATTTATACACTAATGTTAGTATTTTGTATTTGACTCGCGCCTCAGCAGGTAACCAATGTAAAGAAGCCAGCACATTCTGGATGTGATCAAACTTATGTGTCCTTGTTACTATTCGGGCTGCAGTATTAAGAACCTTTTGGATCTTGGCTAGAAATGCTTGTGGGATTCCATAGAGTAAACTATTACAATAATCAATCCTTGATAAAATAAGTGATCTCACAAGTAGTTTACAAGCGTCAGCAGTGAGATAGTTTCTGATGTTGCATATACAGCGTAGATGATAGTAGCATGTACGGCATACCATATCAACCTGAGCGTCCATTGTCAGAGAAGGATCAAATATCACTCCAAGGTTTCGAACATTTTTGGAGAAATTTATTTCTGAATTACCAATGGTGATTTTAAGATCAGGTAGTAACTTGAGTTGTTGTGATGAACCTACTAAAAGAGCCTCTGTTTTATCGTCGTTCAATTTTAGTTTGTTCGCTTTCATCCACTGTTTAACTGCCAGCGAACAGTCAGTAGTTTTTTGTAAGGCATTTCTGATTAGCATAGGACTAGACACACCAATGAGTTGAGTATCATCGGCGTAAGAGTAGTGCCTCTGATCATAGCCATCGATCACAGACCCTAAAGCGGTTGTATAAAGAACAAAGAAAATGGGTCCTAAAACACTGCCTTGCGGTACGCCACAGTCAAGTTTAAACGGTAGAGATTTAGCCTCACCAAGTAGAACTGTTTGATGTCTATTACTAAGATATGATGTGATCCATAAAAGCGGTGTACCGGAAATCCAAAACTGGTTTTTAAGTCTATTGTATAGAATCTGATGGTCCACAGTGTCGAACGCTGCAGATAAATCCAAAAGAGTCAAAGATGCTACGTTCCCTGTATCCACTGCACACTGTAGGTCGTTGAGGACCCTCAATATATATATTACCATTGACCTCGAAGTTAATGTTTCTGGCGGGGGGGGGGGGGGGGGCTTGGATGGCTGAATGGTTAGCGTGCACGCGCTGTATCATAAAGTCTGTCATTGAGTCGACTGGCGTGGTTTCGAATCCCCGGTTGTACGTGATAAGGAGTAGGGTCGCCTATCCAACCTCGTGGGTTTTCTCCGGATCCTCCGGTCTCCTCCCACTGCTAAAGACCCCTACGCGCAAGCGAATTATTGAAATAAAATTAAAACCATATGTTAGTCCCGAAATGACCTAGTTTGTGTCGAGTGGACGTTAAACCCCATTTCTCTCTCATTCTCTCTAATGTTTCTGGGTGGGTGACTTAATGTTAATCCCGTGCCCTGTGAACATCAAAGAGCCTGTAGTTGTTTTATTCATATAAATAACGGGGTTGGTTTCCGTGTTTGGTTATTCCATGTACATTTCGAATAAAACAAAAAGTATCATTTCCAACATGAAATTTAAAAGCCGATTACAATTATTACAAGCGATATGTTGATTTACCATATTTAGAGAACAAAATGTTATTATTCGCTTTCAATATACTCATTGTTACTTATTGATCCAGCGATATATTTTATTCATGATTAAACCATGGACACGTATATTGCATTTGGAAACCTAAAGAAACATGAACTGCATACATTAAAGTAGATAGTATGTTATTGTATCATAAAATGTTTACATAATACAGTATAAACCATTCATAAAAGGTTGGTCTATTCCCATATATATGTTTTATATACAGAAAAGACCATTATGGTCAATTAAAACGATATTTATTTCCGAGGTACATGTCTACCTTCGACAAAAAGGTCATTATGATCAATTAGAAAGCATACTCAGATTACTACAGAGACCAAAGACAATTACAGCTATCTTTCATAACACAACATAGCAAAACAAATCTAAATGTACATGGTGTATAAAATTCCAAAAATAGCTTGTAACTAAACAGAGATTAAAACTATTTCGGCCGTAATAATAACATTTGTGGGAAATGCAGGATTGTACAGTGTTTGTGATATGATATCTACTGATAGGGGATCGGTTTCAGAAGAGTTATTTGCCACATAATTTGATAATATCGTTTTAATGCACATGAACGCAATAAACTTTTCACACATAGCCTCAGCTTACTAAAATGTGTAAAAGAATTGTCCACGTTACTGGCCATGTACCTTCGATTTGTCGTGTACATTTGATTTGTTGGAAAAGACCTAAATTCGGTTTTCTTTAAAACAGACGTCTTTAAATGTTAACATGGCAATCTAATTAAAATTCTATCATACAGTTTATTTTCTTTATATACAATACATTGTAATCTTACAGATATTATGCGAAGAATTTGTTTTATATCAAATAATCGAATCCAGAATAGCTAACCCCTAAACCAAACCGAACAAGCGGCTGCCATGTACGATACACCCACATTTTGCAAAAGATGCATCGAGAACATGGAAAACCAATAGGACCCATCCTTTCAGTGGACCAATGCTTCACATCGAATTAGAAAAAAATCGGTTTAAATTTCTAACCTTTCTCGCGTTCACAAGGTTTTCGGAAGAATGGGGGCAACTTGAAATATGTGTTCAGAATTAAAAGATCTTGGATGAGTTTGATCACGGATCGTTGAATATTCTCAAGTGATTCCAATGCTAGAAACTGAATGTGAAAAAAAAACCCGTTAATAGCCTTTTTCGCATTCAGGAACTACAGCCTCTATCCAAGTCGCAAACTTTTCCGCATATGCTAGGTTCCAACTATCACAATTCGGACTACGATTGGAATCGTGATGTAATCGTGGTGATTCTATCAGGTCTTATCATATATTGAGGTCAGTCGTAGCAATCGTGTTGACTGTATCGAAACGTATCAGAACATAGGAACCTGGCGTAAGGCGGCATGACTCTGGAAGGAAAAGGTTGTGAAACGCTGATTATCTTAAAGGTTCGTCCTCTCATGACCCAATTCTTCAAACTAATTTGAAAAAAAAAATGTCTGTTCTAAAATATAGCCATTATCGACTTTACAAATTTTTCGGAAAATGGGGCTTAACTCCGCAACGGAGGGTCCTATGCACATCAAAATTATTCGAGATCTTTTGGTCCTTAACATTGTCAGTTTCATCTTAGATTGTGGGCTCCAGAAGATCTTCAAACTTTATATATATTTCACTTTCTGGGTAAAACGCAGGGACCAGAAGCTAAGGTGTGATGCGAAACCTTTCTACTTTTAATTCTTAACATAGATGTTCGTTTTCATCTGAATCAGACAAAAATTGTAGCCTCTAGATGGTTCAAAAACATTATACATAATTCACATGAAGGGTAGGGGGCGTAACTCCGGAACAGATGGGCCGAAACACACCAAAATCAAATTCATCCAAGATCTTTTGAGCTGAACACATATCAAGTTTCATCTAGATTGTGACCTGTAGAGGGACCTAGGGTATTGGATGACCGAATGGTTAGCACGTGCGCTCTGTATCATAAGATCTGTCATTGAGTCAACTGGCGTGGTTTCGATTCCCCGGTTGTACGTGACAAGGAGTGGTTTCCTCCCACTGCTAAAGACCCGTACGCGCAAGCGAATTATTGAAATAAAATTTAACCATGTGTTAGTCCCAAAATGACCTATTTTGTGTCGAGTGTACGTTAAACCCCATTTCTCCCGGACAGCGGCACTACGGCCTACTCTTATATCAAATTCCAACTGTCAAGGGATCTTTTACGTGCACGCCAATGTGTACACGGGACCTCGGTTTTTCGTCTCATCCGAATGATTAGACAGCTGTCCTTGTCAGGCCCTCTGTCCTGCATCACTGAGAAAGGGGAACCACGCCGGAAAATCTGGATGAACAATGCTAGAAATGCTTGTGGGATTCCATAGAGTAAACTATTACAATAATCAATCCTTGATAAAATAAGTGATCTCACAAGTAGTTTACAAGCGTCAGCAGTGAGATAGTTTCTGATGTTGCATATACAGCGTAGATGATAGTAGCATGTACGGCATACCATATCAACCTGAGCGTCCATTGTCAGAGAAGGATCAAATATCACTCCAAGGTTTCGAACATTTTTGGAGAAATTTATTTCTGAATTACCAATGGTGATTTTAAGATCAGGTAGTAACTTGAGTTGTTGTGATGAACCTACTAAAAGAGCCTCTGTTTTATCGTCGTTCAATTTTAGTTTGTTCGCTTTCATCCACTGTTTAACTGCCAGCGAACAGTCAGTAGTTTTTTGTAAGGCATTTCTGATTAGCATAGGACTAGACACACCAATGAGTTGAGTATCATCGGCGTAAGAGTAGTGCCTCTGATCATAGCCATCGATCACAGACCCTAAAGCGGTTGTATAAAGAACAAAGAAAATGGGTCCTAAAACACTGCCTTGCGGTACGCCACAGTCAAGTTTAAACGGTAGAGATTTAGCCTCACCAAGTAGAACTGTTTGATGTCTATATCTAAGATATGATGTGATCCATAAAAGCGGTGTACCGGAAATCCAAAACTGGTTTTTAAGTCTATTGTATAGAATCTGATGGTCCACAGTGTCGAACGCTGCAGATAAATCCAAAAGAGTCAAAGATGCTACGTTCCCTGTATCCACTGCACACTGTAGGTCGTTGAGGACCCTCAACACAGGGGTCTCAGTGCCATGGTGGGGTCTG